TATGACTGTGGGGATAAGCCAGGACTTAGGGCATTTGTCAAGGAGGGGAATTTGAAATTCTTTGGCAGATTTTGTGACGAAAATTTGTAAAGTTTTGTTATTTTTGTAAATTATTGAAACTTTAGGAAGCCTTTATTTGTTGTCAGCGAATATTATATCGAGAAGAGTATATTCATGGTTTGGATTGGAAGGTTTGGGAGGAGGACCTCCCTTCTCCTTGTTTTTTCCTTGAGACGAAATTTTGTTTTCTTGGGTATTTCCTAATTTGATAGTTTTGATGCGTTTGAGAGAGAGTTTTTTTTTAGTTTTTATATTATCAAAATATTTAATAACTATTAATAAATTATAATATCTATAAGTTTTTTTAAATACATTAATAAAACAATTATATTTATTAACAATATCAAAAAATAATAACTTAAAAGAAAAAAAAATATATGATAAACCTTTTTTTTTTTCTTTTTTGCTTTAGCAACCTTTTGTACTTTTTTCTTTTTTTCTTTTAAATCTTTTGTGATGTTCCTTAGTGCTTTGGTACTAAAATCTTTTGGATTGATTTTTATTATAACAATTTTGACTTATCAGAAGGCTTATAATCTTAATATAATAATTTTAATTAATTGCTTATAAGATGGATAAATATAGAAACATAATACAAAACTATAATGTATATGTAAATTAATTGTAAATAAATGAAATTAAGAAAAATTAAGGGGAAAAAGACTTTATTAAAATAATGTAAATAATTAGAAACAAGTAAAAATTTTTAGTTAAAAATAAATGTTTTAATAATCAATTAAATTTTATTGTGTATAATCCAAATCTGATCTGAATCTGACTTGAACCTAATCTGATGATCTTTAGGTTAGGTTCAAATTGGATTCAGGTTGATAATTGACTCAACCCAAACCTGAATGCTATTAAACGGATTATATTGGATCAAACCCAAACTGATATATCTTAATTTTTTCTATTAAAGAAACAATATTATCACTTCTATAAATTACATTTAGAGACTTTGATTATTGATAGATAAGTTAAGTTAAAAAAAGTTTATATTTTGCATATATTCTTATACTTGTAATAATTCTTTATAATTAAATAAATAAATGACACCAGTTGGAAAAAAAATAATAATATTGCAAAATCTAAAATCTAAATTTAGATAATTTAAAACTGATAATAGAATTTATATTTTAGTAAATTTTATTTACTAGATATTGATTTACATAATAATTAACTTGCAAAAAACATGTAAATATTAATTTATATAAAATTAATAATATCTGTAATCTTTAAATTGATTCAATAAACTTAGACATCTATTATTATCACATTAAAAAAAAATATTTTTTTTTGATACATACTGTATATTAAATTTTAAAATTGCAAAAAGTTTTAGAGTTTCTCAATAAAATTTAATTGAATGGTGACATTTTATCCTTGTTACGTGTTGTGATTTTATTTTTTGTAATACTTAAAAATTATTTTAACTTATTATAAAATATTTATCATTGTTATCTTATATTTTTTCTATCGTATACTGTATGTTGTATAGTCTATAGTGTAATTAATTCTGTTAAAAAATAGAACGAAATACTGTAAATAATTAATATTAATTAACTTGAGAATCTTTCTAATAGGAAATTATATTATATTTTTTAACTTAATAAAATATTGGGGTTTTAGATATTTTTATATTAAAACAAGAGTTCTATTAATATATAAAAAAGATATTGGGTTGGAATTCGAAAATCATTTTCGAAATTCAATGCATTTAACATTAACTTAAGATCTTGATATTCGATTTATTGTATTTTGATTGATGTTAGGTTAATTCTTTTTATTGTAACAGGCAACGTCGAGTCTGTCGCTAAGGATAGCGGATATTCGCATAACCGTTACGAGGATTTATTTAATTTAAGTGAGGCTTGATCGAATTCTGTTTTATTATCTTAAATTCCAATAAAAATAAAGAAAAAAAGAAAATCAATAATAACAGGAAACTAATAGGACAATAGCTTATGTAATAAGATTTCGCCTTATTTTTTGCTTGTTATTCTATTAAGTTGACATGTCTTGACCAAGTTCGTGCTTTACGCGAAGATCGATTGTGTATCCTTGTTATTACATAATTCTTTATTACTTTTATTCCCGCATCATCTGTCCGTTGATTTGACGTCCACTTTGCAATTAATTGAGTGTTACATTACATAAATGATTATCTCCAATATGAATAACTGATTTTTTGCAAAAAAGGTTATTTATACAATATCTCGATTTAACAAATTTGTACTAGATTAAGAGCCACAAATTTGATTTATTATGGCTTATTTACTACTTCAAATACGACCAAGCCGCAAAATCATTGTGGCATCGTTAAGCCTTAATTCATCCACACACACCCGTATGTAATGCACATTCATCTAAGCAAAATACAAATAAGATAGTATAATTCAAGTGTCACGAAATTTTGAAGTCGAAAAGTATTATTTACTCGTAAATACTCATAGTTTCTCTTAAAAAATTACGCCAGTTATAGTTTGACTTTGGTAGTTAGGACTTTTTGAGTCCCGTGGAACTAAAGGACCACGATGCGGCCGTCTTTAAATGTCACTCACACGACAAATCAAAGTTGCGATGTTTTCGCGTGGCGGAATTGTTTGTCGCAGAATAAAAAAACACGACGAAAACAAATGGACGAATAAAAATAATAATAAACATCTGTTCTTTTTTTTTTTTCAAGAAAAATTGTCGTGAGCCCCATTTCCTTAGTACATTCAAAATGATTTTGTTCGCAATTTCCTTTAACATTTAAAAAAAAAATAAGACGGAAATATAAGAATGATGCGATTTTCTATAATTTTGACTATCTGGATAATTTTATTATTTGCTTTATGTGTGAAGTCAACCAAAATTTTGTTCATAGAAGAAGTAGAGTCGCCTAATGTGACATTGCAAGTAAACAACTCGGAATTCTCGAAGCCTTCAACTTTTCGTGTAGCCGAGACACATGTATATGATTTTGATTTAAGAATAGTCGATTTGGCGCCCGATGGTTTCACTCGTCGCGTTTGGTCGGTCAATGGACAATATCCTGGTCCGACTATTGAGGTGACCAAAGGGGATAGAGTAGTTATAAATGTACATAACCATCTAGATGTAGTTACTTCTATTCATAGTCATGGTATTTCACAACGCGAAACTCCTTGGTATGATGGAGCTGTTGGAATCACTCAATGTGGTATTTTTCCAAACAATAGCTTCACATATGATTTTACGGTGGATTCTTCAGTCGGTACCTATTGGTAGTGAGTATCATTTTATTTGCTTCTAGTAAAAAGTAAAATGATAGGTCTCTCCGAACTTTTCCAATTTTGCAAGTTCATCTTGAAAAATTTGGTAGGAGAGAACTAATAATTGAAGCATTCCTTTATTAATATCACATGACTAATAATTATTATAGTCACGCGCATTATTATGCTCAATACGTTGATGGACTTCTTGGCGCATTTATCATCCATGATCCTGACGATCCATACTTGAACGATTATGACGAAGAGTATACTGTCATTTTGAACGACTGGCACCACACTGAATCGTCAGTTTTAGTAGACTGGTACATGTCTCTGGATAGTGATGGTGATGAGGTGAGTTTTTATCAAATGTTTTCACGTCGTTATTCGGATTCGTATAATATTTAATAATATGTTTATAAATTCATAGCCAATGCCAGACATTGGTTTAATAAATGGGAAAAACAAATACAACTGCTCCCTGGTCTCCGAAGGTTCACAATGTGTTGATGTTGAACTTGAAAAATTCACGTTTGTATACGGAAAACGTTATCGCCTTCGCATTATCAATGCTAGGTATTTCACTAATTTTTTTAAACAATTCATCATCTGATAATGCCGAATAACATAATCCTCATAACCACGCATTTATATAATTAGCGCATTCGCAGCATTTTTCTTTTCCATTGACAACCACTATCTTGATGTCATTGAAGTCGAAGGAACTTACGTCGAAAGATACACTGTCACGTGCATACCAATAAATGCCGGACAAAGGTATTCGGTGATAGTCACAGCTGATCAAGAAATTTCTAATTATTGGATGAGATCAGCGTTCCATATGGGATTCTATTCTTCAAGGCCCTCTACTCTTGAGGTATACAATAAAGCCATTATTCATTACGAAGGAGCGGATGGTGTCGACCCGGAAACGGGATCATGGGATGATTCCACAATGTTAGATTGGTGGGATTTAGATCAATTGGTAGATCTTAAACCCTACTATTTCGAACCGTTGCCAGAAAATACACACACGCTTGTTTTGGCATTAGCTTGCACCGATGATGACAATGAAGTCAGCATGGCTTTAGTTAATGGATCTTCTTTTACACCGGATTATAATGCATCCACCTTGGACAGGGTTTACAATAGAATTCAAGAATATGATAGTAGACAAAATATTTATAGCTTCATTTATTATGGCCAAGTTGTGGATGTTATTATAATTAGTGAGTTTGTTTGAGTGGGTTAACTTTATGTAAAATATAGTTGAACACTAATTGAGAATTTAAACTCTTAGATTATGACGGAGGAGAACACCCTTTCCACATGGTGAGTTTTTTTTATAGATGATTGCAACATAACGTTTGTGTGACACATACTAATATTTACCTACAAAACACAGCATTCTCACAAATTCTGGGTCATAGGCTCTGAGCGTTTTTTTACAGATTATGGTATATCACCGGAAAATTTGAATTTTGTTGATCCGATTCAACGTGATACTGTGACCGTTCCCGAAGCCGGGTAAGTTAGAGGATTGCATCTAGAATCTAGAATCTGTGGATTTTCTAAAATTTCTGTGCACGCTAGATGGGCGATAATTCGATTTATTGTTGACAGTCCTGGCGTTTGGGCTTTCCATTGTCATATCGAGGTAATTTCAATAGTTACTCCATTATTGTTTCCTCGATGCTAAAATCTCATTTCTTTTGAATGCAGTGGCACGTCGAAGCAGGGTTAGTAGCCCAATTCGTTGAATTACCTGACATGATCGCACAAATGAATCCACCTGAAGAATGGAAAAATCTATGTAAAAATCAAACCACCACGATAACAAACCAAGATACTTCTTTTTCTCTGAGTGACTTGTTAAAAAGGAACAAAAAGAAGCGAGAGCAGAAATAAATTGAAAATAGCAGATTAAATAAACTGTAAAATAATGGATTAACTAAATACATACAGCAAAAGAAGCAATTTACCGTGTTATTCGACATTTCCTCTGTAGTGTATGTTTATGTTTGATCATATCAGTTTTTTTTTGTACAGAAGCCTTTAATACATCTGAATAATGAAATTCATTGTAAAAAGGCCCTTCTTGTAAATATTTAAATTTAATATTGAGAGAGCGCAAGTATTTATAATATAAGCGAAGGATTTGTCATGCGCGGCTCAAAGAATAAGCATCATAACTTCTATGAAATGCAGTAGTTTTTTTAAAAAATATTTTTTAATAGATATTACAAATAATTTAATAAATAAACAAATACAGTATATACTGTATGTAAATATTTATTTACTTGAATAATATGTTATATTAAAGTATGTCTTATAATAGATTTGAAATTTTTATATAATTTAGAAAATCGTATATCTATAACATTTGTCTTATATATATAGATAATATTTAACTCAAAATCTTGGTCAATCAATTTTTAATGAATTTATTATAATAAATCAAGTAAAAATTCTTTAAAAAAAAAAAACTTAAAAAAAAACTCTCTCCTGATCATGTCCGTTTTGTTAAAAATTTTCCTTTTATAATAATTTTAAGCAAGAAAAAATGTTTTACACTCTTTATCACAAGTGAGCCCCAGCTCAGGAACTTAAGAACCTTCAAGACAACTGGTGCAGTGGGATGGGACCTCTGGTCAAAGTCTATTCAAGTTTGGGAGTCTTGCTTAT